TTTTTTTTAAAAAAAACCCTTCTCCAGTACAGGTACTCCTCAACGTACGACCAAAATCGGCATTGTTAAGTGAGACGTTTGTTCAGTGAGTTTTGCCCCGACTTTTTAACGACTTTTCTCGCCGTGTTCGTTCAGCGAATCGCCTCAGTTCTCAAACTAGTCAGCCGTTAAGTGAATCCGCCTTTCCCCCTTTTGAGTTTGTGGATCCGAAGGTCGCAAAAGGGGGAATCCCACGACCACCCCCTCCCTCTCTTCCTCCCTCCCGAGGTCCTGCAACCGTTATAAATACAAGCCCCGTGGCCCAGCGCCTGAATATTTCATCATGTGAGCACGGGGATGGAGCGACGGTCATAAGTGTGGAAAAAGCAGACATCAAGGGCAGTTTTGAGAGCCCAGGTTTGGGGCCTGTAAGAACACAAAGTCCCTTTGTTTCTGTCCCCTTGTAACTTTGTATGGTCACTAAGTGAACCATTTTAAGTCGAGGACTGCCTGTGTTTACACACACACACACACACACACACACACAGAGGCCCTAACTTGACTGCAAGATCCTGCTTTCCGAATTTGAAATTTGAACATTTAACTAACTTTATGAAAATTAATTAACTATAGAATAGAATGGAATGGAATGGAATGGAATATCAGAGTTGGAAGGAACCTGGGAAGTCTTCTAGTTCAATCCCCTGCCCAGGCAGGAAACTTTATAAACATTTAATTAACTTTATGAACATTTAACTAACTTTGTCCCAAAGTTGGGGGACAAAAGGAATTGGTCAAGCCAAGGGGGGACGGATGGAGCCACTGGGCCCGTAGGTGGTCTTCTCCCCTTCTTCAGGGGAGAATTTTCAAAGGCCCAGGGTCACCCAAGGCCCCTCCAGACGGGCCCCGGCCATTCCTGCAGAGAGAGGGGGGGCACCCGGGAGGGAGGCTTCCCCCCCACCCACTATTGCCCTCCCGGCCAGAAGGACCGTGAAACAGGGGGGGGGGGCATTTTAAAAGTTCCAAGGTTTGAAGGGCTTGGCTGCTACACAGGCATCTGCATATGATAAGAATATGAGGGAGGGAGGAAGAACAGGAGGAAAGGAAGGAAAGAATGAGAGAGAAGGGAAGGAGGAAAGAGGAGGAGGAACAGAACAAAAGAGGGAAGAAAGGAACAGAAGGAAAGAGGGAAGGAGGAAAGAGGCAGAGAAGGAAGAAAGGAAGAAGAGAAGGAAAGAGGGAGGGTGGGAAGAAAGGGAAGGAGGAGAGAAGGAAAGGGAGGGTGGGAGAAGGGAGGGAGGAAGGACAAGGTAGGAAGGGAAAGAGGAAGAGAAGGAAGGAATGAAGAAGAGAAGGAAAGAGAGAGGGTGGGAGGAGGGAGGGAGAAAGGAAGGAAGGAAGGAAGGACTGGGGGGGATTGGAGGGATGGACCCGGCCAGCTTGCTCTCCGCCCCCTCTGTTTCCAGACAGCTTCCTCCCTCCCTTCTCCCGTGGGGCGGAGGGGGCTGCTTCCCTGGTGGGAAGAGAGTCCGGGCGGACCTCTCTACAGGAAAAGGTCAAAAAAGTCAAGATGGCCACCAGGACTTTCCACCTTGCAGAGCTTCGGCCTCCACCCTCTTGCTTTTCTTTTGACCTCACCCCATGGACACCAAACCCCCCCCC